TAGCGATAAAGGAACCTGGTCTGTATGGCATGAGACAGGTTCAGGTGTTGACTCCCATGAAGCTGCATGCTGCAGTGGAAAAAAGGGCAGTTTGTGTTTCAGTGTTCAGATTCTGAATGCAATATTTCAGGTCAGCAAAAACTAATAAATATATTGTCAAGTATTTTTAGGTTGGATATTTCCTCTGAGTTTCCTGAATAGAAGACTGAAAATGTAGGTGGCTAGAAAATTGAATGTATCTGCCACAGTTTGGAAATGCTCTTTCCCGTGCACAAACTCAGGCCGGGAACCAGTCTGCCTAAAATCTTTGTTACGAACTCAATCCTAGCTCACATACTTACCAGGTTTGTCTAACCCTCTAGGTAGCTCTTCATTAAATATCTCCAGGAGAGTCTGAGAGGTCTTTAGGTTCATACCTTGTTTCACCAGTGCAGGTTAGGAGAGGCAGATACTTGAGTCCTTCCAAAGCTCTGCTATGGGCTGAGTTTATTTTGCTGGAGAAGCCTGGAAAATCAGATCTCATCAAGACTGCTGAAGGTGGTGACTTCTGAAATAAAAATGTGATCCTGAGAAGGGACAGACCTTGCTTTGTTCAGTGCAGCTCCAGGGGAAGTGCAGCCTGAGTCAGTTATGGTGTGAAAGAGGGACCAGACTGCCAGGTCATGGCCAGAGTTCTGCTGGAGCGAGGTATGCAAGAGAGCTAGGGCCAAAAAGCAAATGAAAGAGGGAGATTTCTCTAACCTAAGATTATGCAGGTGGCATGGAAGAAAACTCTAGGGACATTTTGCCTCTTATGTGGTTTAATGTTAAATGCATACATACTCCAGGGAGAAGGAGTGTTAGCTCCAGTTCCCCGTATTTGCAGATGAGTCTAGCTGCTTCTCAGCTGCTGGAATTGCTGACCTGATGTTGCACCTGCATGTGCCTGCTTTGGGCCAGGAGCCCTGTCTTCCTGGCCAGCTGCAGCAATAATGATGTTACCAGATACCTGAGTCCTTATGGCACCTCTCAGGAGTGGTGGCTGCCCCCACAACCACCACCCTAAGGGAGCAGAGCTCTTAACTCATTGCTTCCCACTTCACCCATGGGTATTTGTGTCACTAGATCATAGAATCATTTAGGTTGGAAAAGACCTCTAAAATCATCAAGTTCAACCATTAACCCAGCACTGCCAAGCCCACCACTAAACCATGTCCCCAAGTGCCACATCTACATGTTCTTTTAATGCTTTTAGGGATGCCAACTCTACCACTTCCCTGGGCAGCCTATTCCAATGCTTTCCATGTCTTTTGGTGACAGAATTGATCCTAATATCCAATCTAAGCCTCCACTGGTGCAACTTGAGGCCATTTCCTCTTGTGCTATCACTTGTTACTTGGGAGAAGAGACAAACCCCCACCTCACTCCAGCCTCCTATAAGGCAGTTGTAGAGAGTGATAAGGTCCCCCCTGAGCCTCCTTTTCTCCAGGCTAAACAACCCCAGCTCCCTCAGCTGCTCCTCCTAAGACCTATTCTCTACACCCTTCACCAGCCCCTGTTGTCATAGCCGTCCAGCTAGAGCCCTCTGACCATGGGAGGGCTGGGTGGCTGTGGATGCCAAGAGGGTTGATCCTCTGCAGGCACTGCTGTTGCCTACAGTGGGAGGTGGGAGGAAAAGAATGAAGGTGGCCAGATCATCCCCCACAGGTTTTTCAGAGGTGGCAGCCTCTCTCCATGCACACAGCAGGGAATGTAGGCAACTGGGATAGACAGACAGGTACCTGTCCTTTCTGTCACCAAGCCAAGGCAGCTTCAATTTCAGAGAAGTCATGCCAAAATGAAGCAGCTGGCACAGACAGACTTGACAGGACCCACTGCTTTCTGTCAGATTGTCTTTCTAATGATCCTGGTTTCTGATCAGAGGAAGAATCACAGAGCAAAACTGCCATTCTGCTTTGAAGGACTTTGTTTAATCTCTGCTCAGCAATACTGCATGACCAACAAAATAAAAATATGTAGAGAAGGACCCATACAAAGCTCGATCATAAAATGTCAGGCCACCTTCAACTCCCAGTATTAAAACATTAAGTGTGACAGTCGCAGCATTTGGGCTGACTGCTTTAACCTCTCATTGGTATACTACCATGTATACTGCCTAGGTAATACTACCTAACAGGAGCAAAAAGTTGAGAGTTATAAAATACTCTTTCAAACCTGGTAGTAATTGCCTCTTAGCAAAATTAGTGCTTTGCCAACTCAAAGAGAACTAATCCCATTCTGTCACAGGAAGGGAAAAAATGTAATAGCTGTGAAGCTGTGAAGCTTATTTTCAAATAGATGTGTCAGCATTTTAATATTTTCTGTGGGATTAGCTAGTAACACAGGAAGAGGCATATGCAGAGCTTTCATTTGCTTCTGTAACAATTCGCCAGGGGCAAATTGAACTGTGTCATGAGAAATGGTGTTGTTTCCCCTCCTTCCTTGTCAGATGAAGCAAAAAGACTTGTTAGTAACATAGAAACAATTTGCAGCTTATCATCAGTTCAGGGAAAGTTTCTGCTTTTCTTAAGTTTCTCTTTTTCTTACTCAGACAGAAAGGGCTTACATTTTAGAAACACCGAAGCCAAATAATGAAAAGTGTAAAAGCATTGTAGTAAAAGCACCTGACATAGAACTGAAGCTGTTTCCGTACTGATCTGTTACACTTTTTCCCTTTCAGCATAGCTGCTTCTAGCTCAAAGAAAGATGATTTGCTATGCTCTAGGTATAGCCCTAGCTCCTAACATGGCTTTGTGCGGTGCCTCCGAGGCTAGTTCTGTGAGCATCTGGTGCTGATGGGCTCAGGCAGCTATGGCTGCAGAATACTAATGCTGGTGCTGACTCCCACAAAGCTCCACTTTTGAAAAATGCTTTAGCCATTCAGTGTCCATGCACCATGCTGAGCAACAGGAGGGCAGAAAAGCCATGCTCAGGGATTTTTTTCTTCAATGCAGAGCAAGAAGAGGACAGGAACGATGACTCTGCTTCACATTGTTGTGCCCAGGCTTCTTTCAGAGCTGCAGTCGTTTATATGCATAAATATCAAGCCTGTCACTTGTTGCAGGCTTTGATAGCATTTGTGTAACAAAGGAATCAGAAGGAGAAAAGAGCTGAACATCTTCTATTCCAGACTTAGAAAATGAATGACTGCGTAGCTATGGTGATTACTTTCTTTCTGAGTTCATTAGATCACTGTCTTCTGCAATTTGTTTTCCTTCCTGTCCTGCTGTCCCATGTAAAGGACCGTGAGAGGACCTCCCCCCACAACCCCTGTGTCTTTCTCCCACACTGTGACTACCCACAGGGGATATCTCAAAGAATTACCTACCAGTCACGATTGCCACGGCAAAACCTCTTGCCACATACTGATGTGTTCTTTCCTTTTGCTTCATTTTTTTTCTTTCAGCAGCCTTCTAACAGTCAGTCCACATCACCCAGTTCATGAAGAGATACAAGAACTCTGCTGTAATTGTATTTTTGATTACTTGATTTTTTGATTACTTACTTGATTTTTCTATATCTCCCCTAGGCAAGATGTGTGCTTGCTATTTGCTCTGCATGTCTTATCTTTCTGCAGCTTCTAAATTGAGGCCGATGGTATGTTTACCGGTCATCTCTGGAAAGCTATACTGTTGCATCTAGATTTTCACTGGGTCTAGCAGCTATTCTGTGTTGAAAGGCAGCTAAAATACACTACTCGTATAAAGCAGCTTTTGCATTAAAGCAGTTGCCGAAGTATCACAAGAATGTTATTTCGATGCCAGGAGGGAGGAGGGAGAGGTTCGTACTGATTGCTAATAGGAGGGGAAACAGCCTTTGAGACAATCCCCCTATTAAATGTGATCTGCACAATGAAAAGCTTGGGAAGCCTTTCTAAAGCTTCACACATTTAGGCTTTGTGCCCAGGCTCAGGGTCGCAGACATGGAGGTGGTTTCAGAACACCACACAAGGGGAACCATTTCAGCAAAAATATCAAGGTTACATGGTTAATTTACTAAACTATCTTGGATCACTGTTCATATGCCTCTGTATTGGCATGGAATTCCAGCAGAACAGAAGTAACAATTTCTTCCCTGCCCTCCAACCAGCCATTGCTCTGCTTTGGAGCTATCAAAGAGGTTTCAGGGACAAACAACAGATAGAGGCCCTGCAAACACCCCCAAGGCTAACTAGAGGTTTCTTTTTTGCCCTTGAGTAAGTGTAATTTTTTTTGTACTTTCTGGTTTTACAAGTCTTCCCTAATCTTATAAAAACCTTGAAGTAGTATTATAGTCTTGATAGTCTGAAGATATAAACAGTGCAGGATTTGCAGGGACTAGTAATAATCTTTTCCTGGAGAAGGACTTCTGTGCCTGAAGGCTTGTCTGCTTTTTTCCCCCAACTGTATCAGTTGATCTAATAAAAAATATTACCTCTCCCTACAAACTTTGCTTTACTTATTAAAACAGTTGCCTCCAGGACACAAAACACACTTAACTGGGTGTAAAGCTCCAAGTTCAGGGTGATAAGAGTGGGGTTCAGTGGTGTGATTTCAGTGCCCCAAGCCAATTGGCACAAATTAAAACAAGGTGAGATGAACACTGTCCACCCTGATCATTATACACGTCATTAATGTACCTTTCACCCCCATTCTACGTCAGTATTTTTGTCATTCCTACCTCTCAGCTATATGGAGCGGCTCTTTTCTACCACAGAAATGCACATCGAGTAACATCTTCTGGATGCTACTTGAGTAGAAACAGCAACTCTTATGGTATGCTTGATGAAACTTCTCTGTCTTCTGATTATTTTCTCGGGTGCTGTATCGTATATTGATATATTATTTTTTTTTAGTTTATCACGGGTGAACTGAGATGAAAACGAGATGAAAACAAAAAAAACCCACTGTGACTGAGTAGGCTGTTTCTCCTTTAAGGATCACCTAAATATTGACAACTTGGTTACAAATCTTAAAGGATTTTTTTTTTAATCTGTATTTCAGGTGAACTTTCTGTGGAAGGCATACAAGACCCATTCCTTGTTAGTGTACATATTATCACAGACCCAGGTGAATCCAAGACTCTTCAGCAAGCCATTGATAAGCTTCTAGCCTGGATCCATCCAGATCTCCAGCTGTTTCGAGTCTCAGAAAGACGACTGCCCAAGAAACACAGGAAGCCAGTTAAGGCTGGTGTTTCCCAGCCAGCCCTTGCCATCATTCTGTTTCTGCAGGAGGAGTATGGAGAAGAACCGATCCTGCAGCTCCATGAAACCTTTCAGCGGCCACCTTGGCACTACCACCATACAGAGCTAATGCATGGGAAATTCCTCCCTTACATGCCATGCAGCCAAGACTTTTACACTTTGGCTCCAGAGACTCCTCTGTGGGCCATTCGCCCAGTGCACTACGGGAAAGAAATGATTCGCTTCACCATCTACTGCAGGAGTGAAAACTTTGTGGACATTCTGAAATTGTATGAGTTAATACTGAAAAGACCAGTATGTCAGAAAAAAGCAGACTTCTGTGTGTTTCCTGTCTATTCTAACATGGAAATAGACATTCAGTTTTCTTTAAAAAAACTTCCTAAGGGCCAGGTGCCAGTGACGACAGAGTCAGCGGTGCTGGAGTTCAGAGTAAAAGATGTGGGGCAGCTTGTGCCTCTCTTGCCCAACCCTTGCAGCCCCATCAGTGAAGGCAGGTGGCAGACACAAGACCATGATGGAAATAGGATCCTTTTGCAGGTAAGTTCAGTACACAGTGAAAGAGAAGCACATTTCTTGATTTTGTGCAGCAAAGCCTAGCCTACAATGTCAGACAGAAAAGTTGCCTTTCTTTTTTTTTTTTTTTTTGTCTATCCTAGGAGAAAGGGCCAGGACAGTACTGCTAAAGAAAGAATTTGAAACTGCTTGCTGTGCATGTAACTAACCAGAAAAGCAGTGAATGATGCTATCCAGATATCAGTCAACCTCAGTTTATTCTAAGAGTGATGTGAGATGAGGTAGCTGTTTAAAAGAATGAGGAGAAAAGGAATTATGAGCCTGCTTGGAGAAATGATGGCTGTTGAGTGTAGTTTTATAAGAAATACAGGCACAGAACTGACGGAGTGTTAAAATAGCTCTCAGATATGAGATTTTTATGGAAGACAAGCAGAATTCCTGATGGTACTCATTATTTTCTAGCATCACAGAGTGACAAACAGCATCTCTCTTTTGCACAGTGGTTATCAGGATGAAGAGAGAGGTGGTAAAGGAAGAGAAATGTGCCCTGAAGAGCAGCCTAAGAGAGACATTCCCACAGACTCTCTTTTTTAATTTATCTCAAGTGCTTGTAACAAAATCCTGAAAGAGAGTTTATTTGTTAGGACATCTGTAGGCACCATATCTGGGCAATGTATCAGCATACTCTGCTTCACTACACCACATCCAAGGGAGATAAAAGGATAACAAGCAGCAAGCTCTTAATAGCTGCCTGCCCTGCAGAGGGAGTATCTGTGGCAATCCACAGCCAGGTGAATGTGCATTCTCACACTACAGAGGTATTTATTGCTGCTTACATTTCAGTCAAGGAGCGCAGACCTTCACTTTCAGAAGATTGTTGTTCGAATTTCAAAGGGGTTTTTCTGAGTGAATTGTGTTCATGTGGCTTGTCCAGTTGTCATTGTTTCCACAGAAACAAGCCACCTTGTTTCTGTGGAAGAAGCATTGTGGTTGCCATCCTTTCACCCTACGGACCTCCCGGCGTGCAGAGAGGTGTGTACACCCCCTTAGCACAGAGCCTCTGGGACTCTGGTCAGAGTCTCATGCAGGTGGTCATGAAACCTTTTGATGCTGCTCTGCAGGTGCCACCCTCAGAGACACCCCATGCCAGAGCTGATAGCACACATATAGGGCTGAGGAGAGCAGCTTCCTTGCTCATCTGGCAGGACAGTCACCAATTTGTCAGGGTTACTGATTGCACTGTAGGCATAACTGTGTTAGCCTGAGATAACTTGTAAACTGAAGCTTGCAAGTCATCATGAAATTTATACACAGCAACCACACTCACCTACATCCCCTTTTCCCTGTTCTTTCTCAGGACATTTCTGCTAGGTGATATAAACTTTGGTTTATGGGATCTTGCACTGGTTTCAAGTAAGTTGAAAGGAAGAGTAAAAAAAAAATAGGGTTCTAAATAAAGCTTTTGATTTAAAACCAGTAAATTTTCAGAAGTAATAGGTGCCAGGCAGTACAGAGGTAAAACAAGTCTTGGAGAGCAGCAGGCTGAGATTAAACCCTGCAAAGAAAATCAGAACGAGATTTTAGCTATATATACCAAAAGAGAAGAGCGAAAACATGCTACGTGTGGCCTCCAAGTGCAATTGATTTTCATTTCTGTTTTCAAGTGGGGATGATGCTGCTGCACAGGGGGACAAAATGGCAAATAGGAATGAAGTTACAGAAATGAGATTTATCACACTGGAAGTGTGGTGAAGCAAAAGGAGTTCAATATGTGCAAAATGGGGGGGAAACAGATTCTTTGGATCTAACAAGCAATTGTAAAGTCATGAAAACTAGGTCCTGCTATGCAGATTTTAAGCAAGTCTGTAAAATCAGAAGTGGAGCTCTACAACTAAATCAAAGGGAAAATGACCTGTTTGTAGTCAGATGCCTACAAGCTACCAGTGCAACATGACCATAAAAAGAAAAGTGCAGTTTCTGGTGTATAACAGAGTTAGTATATCCTAAGAAGCATGGGAAGTGTCTATGTCATTGCACAAGGTCCCAAGGGCCTAACCTGTCTTCAGCCATGGACTCCAGAAAGATGACTTTAGAAAGGTGCAGGTACTGGGAAGGGCTCTCTCCCCTTGTAGAGGAATGGAGAGACTGTCTTAGAAAGGGAAACTAGAAGAGTAGTGTCATCTGAGCCCAGGCAAGGCAAGTCTGGAGGAAGCTCTGACTGCTTGGAAAATAGACCAGAATGTAAATGGCAGGAATGGGAAAAGGCTGTTTCAATGACTGATTGTTCTGACACAGGAATAAAAACCTGTCAATAAACAGGTTTTAGTTGGCAGTTGTATATATTGATGGCTAACTAAATAACAGCCACCCAGCAGGTGCAAATAGGTTAATGCCTTAATTCAAGGCAGGATGGTCAGTTAGGGAAAAGGATATGATGAAGCATGGGTTATAGGAAACACTGGATTTGGTGATCCATGGACTTCTTACATTTTTTTAATTCATTCTAAGTTCAAAGCAATGACAGTATCCACCTTTTAAAGTAAGAGGACTACATTTTGACTTCTCACAGAGAGCTGCTATTGACGTTATCAATGCCACAGTGTAAGTGGTAACTTTCACTTCCTCCCAATTACATGGACTCAAGCGATGACTTCCCAATGTTTTTCAGTGTTCACATCAATTGGTACTTAGTAATCATCAGAATATTTTTGTTTACTTCATATGGTCACTGCATTTTTTTACAAATTAAAGTTACCAGTTATACTGAAAATGGTAGATTAACATCCCTAATAAATACAGGCAGTGTTCGAAGTTTGAATATACCTCCGTGATTAGGCTAACAAGATATGACCTCCATGTTTTCCTTGGTGTGCTTACAGGGACTTGGATACTCGCCAGCCAGATTGATCCATGTTCTTAACCCATTTTGCAAATGCAATTATCAAGGGGCTTAGATAAAGTCAGTGCAAGAGAAAACAAAGTTATTCATAGGTAAGATAAATCTGTTTAATGCCACAGAAACTGTTCTTCATTTGCAAGGAAGCCCTTCAAAATTATTTTGTCACAGTAGCTTTTCCACATTGGCAAATTAGCTCCAAGGATGCAGCTATATACCACTTGAGGCAAAGGGTAAGCTTCAGCTGGCTGTAGCAGGAGCAAGGCTTAAGAGCATGATTGCATCCTGTGGGAAGACACCCACACTGCTTCACCAGTCCTAAGCACAGAAACAGGAGCTCTGGGGAGTTCTTGTCAGAGCAGTGGGAAGAAGATGTAAATAATGTAGCTAAGAATATACCATATAGTGGTATACTGAATATACTACCAGGTTTATAGGTCTTGTCCGGATTCCTGGCTGCCTCTGGGCATAATCCACACAGAGGCAGCTGGAGTGCTAATCAACTTGCACTCCTGGCAGTGCAACATGGGAAACAGCAAAGGTTAATAACTGATTGGACTGGCTTGGCCATGTATGTTTGGGAAGCAGGGATAGAGAGCAGAGAGAAGGAAGTGCACATATAACTTCTTTAAATTATGAGAACATCTTTGGGTAGGATAGGAAAAATAAAATAATACTTTGGCAGAATTTCCTAGCCACTCTGCATGAGGCAGAACAAGCAGACATACTCAGGAGGAAGGTGGACAACAGCAAATGAGTATCTCACCTAGGTAGTGACTCAGCACTTCAGCATAAGACCTGCTGCCATTTAACATGCCAAAGAGTACCTGAGCCACACAGCAATGGTGTCTGGGCAGGTTAGACCCCAGACCTACAGGAGGGCTGTGCCTTCCTGAAATGCCAGACAGGCACCCTAGTTGACACCAGAATGCACCAATCACCTGTGTTGAGGCATCTGATTCACCATATAGGAACCAATTACTTGCTGAGATCACTTCCCTCTCCACTCTCTTCAGCACCAAGAAGCAAACAACATTGCCAGAAAGCCAAGAAAAGTGAAAATGCCAAGAAATGTATGGTTTGCTACCAGTCTATGGTAGTTCTGCTTGAAACAATGAAACAAGAGCTGGCATTACAAGCCAGTTATTATGCTAATGAACGTGTACAGTTTGTGGGATGGCTATTTTCTGTCTAGTGTTGCTTTATGGAGCATCCTTGAAATAACAGTGCCGATGTTCACTGATCACAGCTTCTAGGTAAAGGGATTTTATTTTAGCTGATGTGCTGAATTAATCAACCAATGTTCCTATCTGTACCAGGCAACCATAATCTTGAGTTCAGAAGTGGTATAATAATATTTGGGAAACGTGGTTTGTTACCTGAAGCATGGTTCTGATAAAAGATTGTTTGTGGACCCAACCATTAAGAATTATTAACTTGCTGCTGTGCTACCTGCAAGCTCAGGTCTTTGCAGAGCTTGGAGGTAGAAACCTTGGAGTTCCTCCATCACTTGGTGTACAAAAGGAGTACTCTAGATCCATAGTCAGGCAGTAGTCAACCCCTAGTGGTTTTATAAAGTCAGTTGCAGTCATTTATGTACCAGATCAGTCTTTTACTGTTGAATACATCCTTGGAGTTGCCAGGCATCAGTCTGGTGGTGCAGATGTCTGCCAGCTGCATGCATAAAGGCATTCTGTGCTAGGCACTTGAAGTGCAAAATGCCTGAAGATGTGAAGCAGCATGAAGGAAGTTACATGCCTACATGGACATCAGCACATATATTATACAGAAAAAAAAAGAATTGAAAGCTTATAGCTGAAAACCTTTTTTTTTTTATTCAATGTATTATATAAAGGTGTCTGTGAGACTCATGAACTCATCTTTTTGTCCCTTTTTAGCCACGGCCATGAGGAGAACAAAAATACCTTTACTTCCCTCAGGTTATTTAAAACATGGACATAGCTACATGAAAAGTATCATTGTAGTCAAACTTAACGCTGAAGATAATGCAGAAATCAGGGAGAAAGATTTTTTCATGGTAAACAACTGACCCAATGTGTTTTAGGAGCAGAGATAGTGCCTTCCTACAGAGTGTGGGAGATTGGGCATAATTGAAGCAAGGAGCTGG